AACTCAAATATTATTATTTTATTTTGCAATTCCAGGAAATGTCCATGGATGTTTTCCAGGACACGTCAGATCTTGGTGATGACTGGTCATACATGGGTACATTGCAAGCTCTTGAAGATATACAACCTTTAACTTTTGTAAACCCTGGTTTTGTAGCTGATGATGAACAATTCGACAGTGGCGCCTTTGATGACAATGGAGCCGCTGCCGTGTATGCCACCGCTAGGCCACCGAGCACTCGTCAAACTGAGCCAGTAATGAGCACACATGATGACAGTGATGAGGAAGCACCACCTCCCCCAGTACCACCTAGGGACGATGTACTGGATAATCCAACTCCAGTTATCCCACCTCCAGTTATCCCACCTCCTGACTATATAAATCAAGTGGATGACACTGAACTTGTTAAGAATTCTGTTCCTCAACCAAAGGACCACTACACAAAACTAGAAGATATACCTGATCCAATTATGAAACTCTGGGCTCACCTCCTGAACCTGATTATGACAACAGACAAACTCCTTTTGTACCTGATCTTGCAACCAATGCAGAAGCAACTACGTCTCCACCAGATTCTGCTGATGACAACAAAGTTACTGTACTGATCGTGCACCCATACTACCCGTTACTACTCAACCAGATCCATATGAGGACCATCAGGAATCTCCTCCATCTGAATCAGAGTGTGACAATGGACCTGCCAATCCTGAACCTGTTCGAGACAACCAGGCTCCTGATCCACTGAATGACAAAATAGAATCTACACCTAACACAGACCAGCCAACACCTAAACAAGACACCAGTGTTGTCCAACCTGTCATCTCAACTGTTGATATGAATCCGAGTGAAATGGATGTCAATAGTGATGATGACAGCTCTAGTGATGATGAGAAGAATAAAAAGAATAAGAAGTCTGTATCTTTTGCTGTGGTTGATGATCCTATCGATGAAGCGAAAGATGGCTTTACCTGGTTCTAATCGATGTATACACACCCATATATAACTTGCTATGCCTTTTTGCTTTTTTAATTTCATCATAAGAACACTG